TCAAAATTAATTAGAAGAGATACACTGCATATTACAATTCTGAACATACATGCCCTGAATGTTGGAACACTCAATTTCATCAAAGTAAGTGCTATTGGATGTAAGGGTGCTGACTGACCTTAGTATAGTAATATTGAATAGCTGTAATACCACACTTCCACCAAACGCAGTGGTTGTTCAAACCAAAACAAATTAACAAAGAAAAATAAGAGATCAATAACATTTAGTGAAAATGGGCCTAAGAGGCATCTGCAGAAGATTCCATCCACATCTTGCAGACTATGTATTCTTGTCAGCAGTCCACGGGAGTTTTTCTTTAAACAGACTATATTATAGTGCGCAAAGCAAGTCTTAGTACATACGTGAAATAATTTCTTGGTCCTTATTTGATAAATAGGCTAAAACTAGAAGTGAAAAAGCAAGATAATGATATAGAAATGAAAAAAGTCAGTGAAGCAAAGAGTTGGTTCTTTGAAAAAATTCACAGCACTGACAAACCTTTAGCCAACAAATTCCCAGCAAAATTCATCATAGACTTCAAAAGAATGGTACCCAACTTCATATGGAAAAGCAAAAAACCCAGGATAGCCAAAACAATTCTGTACAATAAAAGAACTTCTGAAGGCATCACAATCCTTGACTTCAAACTCTACTACAGAGCTATAGTACTGAGAACAGTCTGGAATTGGCATAAATACAGACAGGAGGACCAATGGAACCAAATAGAAGACCCAGATGTTAATCACATACATTCAAACACCTGCTCTTTGACAAAGAAGCAAAAAATATCAAATGGAAAAAAGAAAACATATTTAACAAATGGTGCTGGCATAACTGGATATCAACATGTAGAAGAATGAAAATAGACCCATATCTATCACCATGCACAAAACTCAAGTCCAAATGGATCAAAGACCTCAGCATAAAGCCAGCCACACCCAACCTTATAGGAGAGAAAGTGGGAAGTACACTTGAATGCATTGGCACAGGAGACCACTTCTTGAATATAACCCCAGCAGCACAGACACTGAGAGAAACAATAAATGGGACTTCCTGAAAACTGAAAAGCTTCTGTAAAGCAAAGGACATGGTCAACAAACAAAACGACAGCCTACAGAAAGGGAAAAGATCTTTACTAACCCCACATCAGACAGGTGTGATCTCCAAAATATACAAAGAATTCAAGAAATTAGACACCAATAGATAACATAATCCAATAAAAAAATGGACTTCCCACAGGGTAGTCCTGATTGCTCTTTGGGCTGACGAGGGAGGGGGACTTGATTGGGGGAGGGGGAGGGAAATTGGAGGCGGTGGCGGGGAAGAGACAGAAATTTTAAATAAACAAACAAACAAACAAATAAATGAATAAATAAGGAGTACAGACCTAAACAGAGAATTCTCAATAAAGGAATCTAAAATGACTGAAAGACATGAAATGTTCAACATCCTTAGTCATCAGAGAAACGCAAATCAAAATAACTCTGAGATTCCATCTTATACCTATAAGAATGGCCAAGGTCAAAAACACTGATGACAAGTTATGCTGGAGAGGTTGTGAGGTAAAGGGAACACTTCTGCACTGCTGGTGGGATTGCAAGCTAGTACAGCCCCTTTGGATGTCAGTGTGGCAATTTCTCAGAAAATTAGGAAATAACCTTCCTCAAGACCGAGTAATAACACTTTTGGGTATATATCCAAAGGATGATCAATCATGCCACAAGGACATGTTCATGGCAGCATTGTTTGTCATAGCCAGAACCTGGAAACAACCTAAATGCCCCTCAACCAAAGAATGGATAAGGAAAATGTGGTACATTTACACAATAGAGTACTACACGGCAGAAAAAAAATAACGACATCTTGAATTTTACAGGCAAATGGATGTGTAGGAATAAGCCCAGCCCCTTAGGGAGCGTGTTCAGCTCGGGCAAATGTTTACTTATAAATCGGGCGAGCGGGAGCCCGCGCGCCCCCCTTCTGCTTTCCTGGTCTCCGCGGGAACGGTGGTTCTGTAAGTCTATTTCCCCATTAAAGCTGTATATATTTTTCAAAAAAAAGGGGGGGGGGATTAACTGGTTTGATGGGATGATTGGTATTTGTGATTTACTGTTTTTAGGAAATTGTATTGGTACTGTTTCTTCTATATTGATATATTGAATATTGAATGTGCTTGTTCCTACCTTTATTTTTGTATAAGAGTATGCTTATATTGTATTGATACATCTACCATATCACAATGTACATTTCTACCTCTGATACTATTTATATAATAACATTGTTTACATTTGATATGTAATTACATTGTTTACAGGTGAAGATCATTGTCTTCCTATATTGCACAGTTGTTTATTCTCTTAGTCTTCAAGTTAGATAGGTATTGAGAATTATATGTTTGTCATATTTATTTTTAGGTTAATCAGGTCTTTTAGATACATAGAGATTATATTTAGTATAGATAGTATAATCTTCAGCCTCTTCGAAGAGCTGTAGAAAATGGCCTTTAATCTAACCTAGAATTCTGTGCCAACGAGACACAATTACTCCTGGCAACACCACTCTACTCCTGAGAGAACGTTGAGAACCAAAGACACTCCACTGGGAGCTTGTCTTCTTGGCAGAACTGGCCTTGGGGTTAAGAAAAGCCCATACCTCAACTACTGACAAAGATATGAAACAGGATTGTCTTATCTTGCCAAGACAGGGTAGGATAATTCTAAAAAAGTTCCTTGCATTTAATAATGATATGTCAGTTATGTTAGGCCTTACCCAAAGTTGGTTGACTCAACATTGCTAACGAGACTTTGGGTGATTGCCCAGGTAGTCAGTTGTCTCTGTCATTTGTTGCACATTTTGGATATTTCTCGTTTGTTAAGTAATATTTATTCCCTTCTCAGATCTTTGATGGAGTTAAAGATTATATAATTGTAGTTACTCTCTACATTATTTAGACTCCTTGAGATAGAATGTTTAGCAAAACTTTTGTTCTCAATATTGTTTATTATATTTATTATTTGTTATTATAGTATATAGTTGTATTTGGTTTAGTTCTGTCTTATTTAGACAAAAGGGGGAGATGTAGGAATAAGCCCAGCCCCTTAGGGGGCGTGTTCGCCTCGGGCAAATGTTTACTTATAAATTGGGCAAGTGGGAGCCCGTGCGCCCCTTCTGCTTTCCTGGTCTCCGCAGGAATGGTGGTTCTGTAAGTCTATTTCCCCATTAAAGCTGTATATATTTTTACAATCTGTCTGCATTCATTTACGCCATTACATGGATGGAGATAGAAAACATCATTTTGAGTGAGGTAACACAGAAAGACAATTATCACATGTACTTACTCATAAGTGGTTTTAAATATAAAGCAAAGAAAACCAGCTAACAAATCACAATTCCAGAGAACCTAAACAACAATGAGGACCCTAAGAGAGACATATATAGATCTAATCTACATGGGTAGTAGAAAAAGACAAGATCTCCTGAGTAAATTGGGAGCATGGGGACCTTGGGAGAGGCTTGAAGGCTAGGGGAGAGGCAGGGAGGGGAACATAGAAAAACGTAGAGCTCAACAAAAATCAATTAAAAATAAAGAAAGAGAAAGATGCTAGATGGTGGTGGCGCATGCCTTTAATCCCAGCGCTTCGGAGGCAGAGGCAGGCAGATCTCTGTGAGTTCAAAGCCAGCCTGGTCTACAAGAGCTAGTTCCAGAACAGGCTCCAAAGCTACAGAGAGAGAGAATCCCTGCCTCGAAGACCCCCCTACTCCCAAAAAGAAGGCGAAAGACGATCCAAATTAATAAATGATAGAAGAAAGAGATGCTGTAACAGACTGTAGGGAAATCAGAAAAACATAAAAACATATTTTAAAAAAATCCATAACCTGCCAAACAGGAAGACCTAAAGGATATGGATGAATTTCTGGATATATATGATCTATTGAAGTTAAGTCAAGATGCAGCAAATAATTTAAATAGACCCACAGTCCCTATTGAGAGAGAAGCAGAACTGAAAACCTCCCAACTAAACAAAAACTCAAGGCCTGATAGATTTAGCATAGAATCCTACCAGACCTACTAATTGTTATGGACTTTAAATTCTACCAGTTTGCAGCAATGATCTTAGTTTCTGCTTTCAGAAGAAAAAAATACTAGAAATAGTAATAACCACAATCTTAAAGAGCTAAAAGAGGGCAATACAAAGCAGCTTTTTACACCTGAAGACCAGCACAAAGGTGATTGTAGCTTGTCTGTTTTACTAAGACCTTAGTTGGATTTCCCTCTATAGCTTTGTGTCAGAGTAAAGGAAATTAAAATATAGTTTATTTAATGAAGTTTCAAAAAGCAAAACTAAAAGTCTCATATGTAAACAAGAAGATACAAGCACTGAAAGAAGTGTGAAGGCCTGTCTAAGGAAGTACATTCCAGTTTCAGACTTTAATGCCTAAGCCTATTACCACTACACAAACCAAGCTCCTTGAATCAAATTGTCTACAGTGTTCCTAAAACAAAACAAACTAAACTGAAAACAAAGAAACAAACAACCAAAACCAAAACACAAACAAACAAAAAACAGAGCAAAATTAGAACCAGAACTCCATTTTATTTTGTGCGAGACTTTTTTGGTGAAATAGTGTTAATTATAAGCAGTACTAACATATACAATAGGGAAAAGAATCCAGAAGAATGCTCATTCACAAGATTACAGTCATAAAGTCCATATATGTAACAAATAATAAAACATTTTTGTGATGAAAATAAGAAACATTACATACCTTGATGTGTAATGATTTATAAAATGTAATTTTGTAAATAAAATGATTTTTAACAAACATAATGTTGAATGCTGCCAACAGAACTCTATGGTGATTTTCACAAAAGCCTTCTTTGGAAAGCTAGTAGATATGGCTATCTAGGAAGCATTATGTCATTTATGGATTGGTTGGTAAAAATGTTCAGCCAAATGAATGTAAGAAAACTTAAAGTTGTTGGCTTTTGCCTACCGTACCAAGATCAGCCTTAAGATCTGTTGGCAGACTTAACTTTCTTGATCCTTTGACTGAAAAAACAGAAAAAGGAAAAAGGCAGTAGTTAATTATATGAAATAAAAGAGGAGTGTGGGGGACAGCATGTTTCATAGTCAGTAGCATCCTGGAAGTTACACTTACTATGCATTTATGAGAACAGAAATGTTGTTCCAATGTTAGTTGGGTTGCCATTCAGTAGGAAACTTTAAATAATCAAGCAGAAACATGAGAAAAGCATTTGCTTCTAAAGTAAATAAGTGATTTTTGCATAGTTTATTATACAAGGTATGATAAGTAATTTCTTAATAGGAAATTACTAAAAATGAATTTCAGACATATTTAACAGATATATATTGCAATAAATGTATAAACTTACATTATATACAACAATAAAAGTAAAAACACTATTGCTCTTCGGGCTGAGGAGGGGGTACTTAAGTGGAGGAGGGGGAGGGAAATGGGAGGCAGTGGCGGGGAAGAGACAGAAATCTTTATTAAATAAATAAATTAAAAAAGATAACTTAGTTTAAAATAGCTAACAGTATCAGTGTTATTTCATCTACCATGGACAGTACATTGATTATTTCACACACAAGAGAATTTTCTTCTTTTGATTCAAAACTACTAGTGTTGTTCAGTCTTTACTTTTATCATTGTTATGCATAATGGAAGTTTATCAAATCATCATGTTTGGCAGCAATCATCTTTACTCACTGAGTCATTTTTCTGGCCCTTAAATATGTTTTTCTTTCTTGTGTTCTGAAATACTACCTTCCTTTTTATTTTACTTCAACAATCTAAAGATGTAAGAACTGCTCATCCTTCATAAGTTACACAAATTTCTATTTTATGATTTGACCCAGTGCTATAGACTGTTGGCTATAATAAGCCATGCTATATTACATAAAAGCAAACATAAACTCTGATAAAAAGCAGCATGCTTTTGTCTCTGTGAAAATATATTTGCACATCAGTCTATAAAGACTGACAAGAATTAAAATCAGATTTTAATAATGTGATATTACACTCAGCACAAATAGAAGAGGTTGTTAAACAAAACAACCCACATAATAATGGTCTGGCGATATAGTATTATGAAAATATTTTGTACATTCCCATAACTGGAACTTTCACAGGACTTTACATCCAAAATTAATAATATACCTTAACATCACTTAGCACTTAAGATTGCTACCCAACTATATACTCAGACTGTTTAGCCTGCCTTTTAGCAAGCAATTTAACAACCAATCCCACTTGCTTTGGCTTTCTCATGTAATCAGCTTCTATGTCCTAAGCTAATAGATAGCTGTAATCCTAAATTCTATGTTCTTCCATGCCCTGACCCAGAGTATGTGGTTTTATGATAATAATTTGCTTAAAACATCTAATATAGACTGAAGGCAGTCGTATAAAATGAATATTCACCATTAGTGATGGAAGTAATATAAAGACATTGTTTGAAAAACAATGATCCTTGTAGTACTGTTTAGTATCTGGGTCAGCTACTGGGTCACCGGTTAAGAGCCGGTGACTTAACCCCCTTTTAAACCTGGCAGGGATTGTAGGGATTGTTAAAGGTATCTGTAAAGTCTCCTTCATTTCTTATTTGTGTGATGCTTTCTGTGTGGTTCAATGAATGAGAGAACGAAGCTTTTTGCTAGAGACAGACATAGACACAGGCAGACAGAGATAAACACACACGCACACATGGGAGACAGAGGCACAGATTCAGACTCCTACAAAAGACAGACAAGAGGATGAAAGACATAGGGAAAGGAAAGCAGAGGTTTCAAATCTGGGCTTGCTCTTGGTTAAACGGCTCCAAGGGGCAGTGCTTTCATTTCTGTCCTTAATGTGATCCCACATATTATTGGCTACTTTGAGTTTATTATTAATACATTTAAATTGACCACATAATGGTACTTCAGAAGAGTTATTTCATAACTCAGACAGACTGAAAAGGATTTCTTATTTTTTAAATTGTTTCTATCTTTTTTAAAAATAACACATCTACATCTGCCCTCCCTCCTTCCCTCTCTGTCTCTCTGCATCTTTTCTCTCAAAGATTACATTGATTCTTTTTTTTTTAAAGAAAGGCCTACAATCCCTAAAATAGGTTTTAAAAGTCTAGGATAATACAGCAGGGAAATTATTACAGTATTAGATTCATATTCCCTACTACTCTTTGCTGTTATTGTTGCTTGCTTTTCCTATAGGCAGGGTTTCTTCATAAGTTTAAACTGGCTTCAAACTCAGTAAGCCTTTGAGGGTGTCTTTGAAATTATGATTCTGTTGTCTCCAGCACCCAAGTGTTAGGATTATAGAATTGCATTACATACTTAGTTTATATGGCGCTGGCGATGGTACCAAGTCTCCATGCATTCTTGGCAAGCACTCTGCTAACTAAGCCACATCCCCTACCCATTCTTATGTTTCCCTCATCGCTGATATTCTAGCATTTAACTTTGGTTTTAGATCTTCTCTAGTGTTTGGAAATCTCAGCTCGTATCCAGCTTACCACCTACCTTCCTGGCCCTCTATAGACTACTTCCCACCAGAAACCTAGGACTGTTTTCACAAATCTTGTCCTCAATTGTGCTACTTGGGGAGGGGAAGAGTACCTGGATGAGGGATTGATGAAGAACTTCCCTAATAGTGATGCTAATAACAGGCCTCTTATGCCTTCAAAATTCTTCAGCTTTTCTGTGAATAAACTTCTATTCCCCTGTCTGGGGTTGTATCTCAGATTGCCCTAATGAAGGCTGAGCAGATTAGGTGAACACATCTATGTGTCAGAGAATAAGAGGCCAATACTATTAAGAAGTATATTTAGAGTGCTATTCACACTTAGTGCTAAAGTGGCAGTGAATCTTCCCCAAGCATCTTTAGATCTGTCATGTGAGAGCAGGAGTCACTTACTCAAGAGGGGTAAACTGAGACAGTGGTAAATGGCAGAGTAGATTCGGTTTGAATAAAATGTAACTTATGAAATATGGACTAAATTCATGCAGCTCTTTATATTTCTCCCTTTCTATTGCTGATTAATCTAAAATATACATCCCATTTTTATTTCATAACATTAGTTAAAGATAGAAAATGGAGTTGAATCTTCTTACTACCTGGTAGACTAGCACAGAAGAGGAGTGTGTGTGTGTGTGTGTGTGTGTGTGTGTGTGTGTGTGTAGATGTCAACTTCAACTTCACTAGATCTAAAAATTGATTATAATTAAATCTTTTTCAAGTTAATATTTTTGGCTCTTTGTAGGAGGTATGGGAATATACAGGATATGGCAATTGATAATTCAGGTATTGACCCACCAGACAAATAATTATCTGATGGAGATAATCCTGTTTAGCAAGGCTTACAGGACCATTGCCTCTATCTGTAGCCACTTCATTTCTTCCCTAAGAACAACTTTTGGTATTTTCCCACTGCTGTTTTCATGTTTATCTCATGAAAATATTCCATCTAAGAGGTGCACATATAGCTGAGGATGGTCAGGAAGATGATTTCTGCTTAACTGTAAAATTTTGATGAATAGAAATATTATTAGGATATTTTACATTACTCAGACTGACATAGGATTCTCAGTCACAAAGACAGTCTTTTGTGCAGACAGTTAATTTTAGACTCCAGAACAAAGAGCATGCTGGTTGCCCCTGGAGATGAATATCTGGTTGCTCCTAGGGATAAATACACGAGGTCATTTTCACAGGTATTTTTGCTGATTCAATGCTAGGGCTTGAAGCAATTTTAGACACAACTTCCTGCAAGCATGAACCTTTCTGCACATACCCCCCCAAACTCAAGGTCCAGCTAATTAATTGTTAAGTCTTGAATTCCAACATCATTTTTCTGTCTGGGAACCCTAACTATTTGAGCTACATGCGTGGCTAAACACTACTCCCTGGCCAGTTATGCAACCTCCCTAGGCTAAGGGAAACTACTTTACTTATGTGTTACATTGTGTTCGGCCCTGAAAATGTAACTTATAATTGTTCAGAGTTTGGTTGTGAGGGGAAGAGCAGCAGCCGCAGTGCAGTAAGAGGAGGAGCATAGATGAAGGAAGGAACAGCAGCGGCAAGAGAAGTGGTGGTGTAGATGAAGCTGCCGAGGAGAGTAATGAGAAAAGAGATTTTTCAGAGAGAAAGTTTCACAAAAAAGTAAAGGCAAATTTACCACCAGAAAGCATCTGTGTTTCCTTATTTTCCCCTCAGATCGAAAAGTCTAGCCCAAAGAAAGAGGAAAAAATTTTCCTAAGAAACCCTTGCCACCTTTGTGGATTTTCTTAAATACCCTGCTGCTGACTGGGAGGCTGTCTCCCAAGTTAGCTACAGCTCTTTCTTGATTAAAATTTTTATCTCACAATGTTTCGTTAATAATGAGGGCATTGTGTTTCTGTTGTGAGTATTTAGAAGTATATAATTTTGTTTTTTCTTCTTTCTTCTTTTTGTCAGGTATAACAGGCTAGTATGTTCTAAGGCACCAATGTCTTTTTAAGAGTAACATCACACACTTGGCCCATGATGACTTATTCTCTATTAAATGTACTAGGTCACATTGTTCATATTGCACAATCTCACACAGAACAAAATCATTTTGGAAGAACTTCTCAACTGGTTTATAGAAAAAAATCACACAAAAAATATGATAGCTAATTTAGCTGGGTCAGGAAATATTGTTTCAACAAACATGACAGTTTGATCTCCTATCCCTCCCTCTCTCCCAGGAATTAAACCTGGCCTCATGCATGCTAGGTAAGAGTTCAACCTGTTACTTCTGTGCTATAGCACCAGCTCTGTTTGATTTCTTATAACCCTAGCCCTATTTGGCTCTGAGCAAATTATCAGGAATTTATTGCTATTTTTATTGTGCTGTGGCATACTTTTTAAAAATAAAAACAAAGGCAAGAAAACTCAAAGAATTACACACTACACAGTTAAATTTTATTCTATGTTGATTATACCTCAATACACCTGACATAAGAGAAATAAAATGCCAAGGAAAGCATCCCCACAGTTTACTCAGTCCACACTTACTAAACCCTACCTATCGACTTGGGTTCCATTTTTATTTCATTTGAGATAGCTTCTCATATAGTCCTGCTGGCCTCAATAGCTGAGGATGAGCTTACTTTCGGGATCCCTCCTGTTGTGCTTCCTGAGTGCTGTCATTGCAGGTATTGCACCACCACACCTAGTCTGTGCTGTGCTGGGGACTGAGCTCAGGGCTTCATGCATGCTATGCAAGCACTCTGTCAACTGGGCTATGTTCTGGCTGATTTACCTAAAGTTCTTTTAAGTAGAATCATTATGCGAGAACAAATAAGTAAAAGGACTTGCCTATAACAAAATGCATTTATAAATTGAGGTTTAAAGGTCACGTCAGCAGATTATCAACTTTTGCAAAGCGATTATTATTCATGCTTCCTAAATTTAGGTTTAAGTTTAATGACAAGGCAAAGCAATCAATTTGAGCTTATCATAATTTATGCCAGAATGAGTTAATATACTCATCCCGTAAATATAAACAGAATTTTGGACATTAAAGTATGGTTTTGTTTAGTTGTCATTGTGTCTGTTGATAATAGCATGATCTTTAACCACCTATAATATCCTTTTTCTAATTCTTCATTCAGTTTAAAGTCAGTGGATGGTGCAGTGTGGTTCATCATATGTAAAGACTTCAAATAAATCTCAGCCACATCTTCCTTTCACTAGCTGAATCAACAATGCATAAACAGGTTAAACTCTAAATCAAAGTGTTAATGGCTACCATGGCTTTAAAGATAATATATACTATAAAGACATAGATTAGAAGTTTCCAATTCAGGCCTGCTGCTCAGATGTTTCTTGAACTAGATTTACTTTTGGATTTCTAGTGAAAGATTTTGAACTCGTTATAGCTAAGCCATAATAAGCATTTACAAGCCTAGAATGATCAAGAGCAACTAACTTACTCTCCTTAGACCATAGATACTTGCCCCCGTATTTGTAAAGAAGCCTGATATATACTGTGGCAAACCTACGTTCTGACATGGATAAACATTTAAAGCTATTAACTAATGCAGTGACAGAAGGTACCTGGATAAGGTTACATTTTTCTGATTTCAAAGTCATACCCTTTAAACTGAGCAACATACACAATCTTCTTGACATAGAAAACACTACCTACTACTATATGAACTGGCTTTGTGGGAGCCTAGCCTGTTTGGATGCTCACCTTCCTGAACCTGGATGGAGGGGGGAGGACCTTGGACTTCCCACAGGGCAGGGAATCCGGACTGCTCTTTAGTCTCGAGAGGGAGGGGGAATGGAGTAGGGGGAGGGGGAAAGAAGTGGGGAGAGGGAGAGAGGAGTGGGGGGAGGGGAGGGAAATGGGAGGTGGGGAGGAGGCAGAAATTCTTTTCAACAACAAAAATAAATAATAAAAAGAAAACACTACCTAAGGGGTCTAGACATCTAGGAAACATACAGACCTCACATTAATTTAAAATAAAAGTTGATTTGATGAAAATGTTTATGACGTTTATCTGTGTACTTACATATTTATTGATTAATTGACTGATTGAGTATGACAATTAAATTTCCCTTGTCCTAATCCACAAACTGAGAGGACCGATACACCAGATATGTATATGGGAAAAGTTAAAAAGAAAAGAAGCATTTCGGGTCACCATGCCATGAAAGACCTGCTTTCTTCAATTGTATTGCCATAGCTGCCCTCCTACCCTTTAGAGAGGCTAAGATACAGTGGGAAGAGAGTTATTGTCATGAGAATTTGACTTAGCACAAAAATATGTATTGCCATCTATCTTATACTTTATATTTCTATTTAGATAATATTAGTTAATGAATGACTTAATTTCATATACTTCTTCACTGAGTATTAAACTTCATTTCTGATTAATTTAATATATATTTCAAATTATAAATTCCCAGAAATACCTCAGTTTTCAATCTATATTTTAAACCTTTTACAATAGGAGGCCAAATGATTTGTTACCATTTAACCTAGATCAAGTACTCAGAAGCCTGGGAGGCTTGTCGATCTAGGCTTGCGCCAAGTTGTTGCTCACAAGGCATATCCTGGAGTGAGTTAAAGAACTTTTCTTCTCAGCAACCTCATAGGGTTGCTGTAAAAATCAAATCAAACAATCAGGACAAAAGTACCTTATTTGTGCTCAAGTACTATAAAAGAAAATTAGTTTTTAACAAACTAGTTTGTTACATTAATTATATGAACTACAACAATAAAGTAATTTTCAAAATAGTCTTTTCCCAGAACTTAAGTAGTGAACTATTTTCTTCTGCTATTTCAAGAAAGGTATATTTATCAAGTTCTTTTTTTAATGTTTTTGCTAAATAGTCCCTTCATAACTCAGTTACTTCTTCCTCGTAGCTCAGTCATATAATTTTAATAGTGATTATTTTGTAATTGTCATTGTTTTTCTCATTTAATGAATGAATGATGGTGGCAGGGAGATAGCTTTGGTTTTCAAACCAAATATAAATAATTAAAATTTTACTTCTTTCCATTGAAATACTCTGAGCTTTAATTTGCTTACCAGAAGGTTATATAGAAGCTAATGTCTATAAAGCTTTAACAAGTGCTTTTGTCTTCCTTGGCTACTTGAGATCTATAAGATGAATAACTCTTTAAAGTTACAAATCTGGCCATATCCACTTTTTAATGACTAACTTAAGAAGGGTAGACAGACTGTGTCAAGTTGGTTTGGGTATCAGGGAGCAGTTTTGGGTTTGAGGCCCCTGCAAAGGATTGGGTTGATAAAACATGTGAAGAACAATTCTTCAGGAAAATGTTCCAAAGCAGCAATGCTTTGACAGAGTTGTTGGGATCACCAGTGGTTGTACTGGTTACAGAAATCAATTCATTGGCTTAGAAAGGCTCATGGTGATTCTATAATAAAATCTCACTATGGGGGGACATTTAAATTTCCTCTGAATTTCCTGGTTGTCCTGTTCTACTTTCTTACAGGTTTCATGAGGTTATTCAGCTGTATTTTGTATAAAAAAAATTCTATGGAACATTTCAAGATCAAGGCAAAAGCCTACTTTTATATTGTGACATAAACGTCTCTGGTTTGAATAAATGCTTCTAGCAACATGTTTTTATTTGCCATGTTTTGACCTGTGTTTTCAGCACAACAAATGAAAAGCATGTCTTAAACTGTGAAGCGAATTGGGAAGAAACAAGTCTTTTATTTATTCACAGAAAAGATTTTCACCTTCACCTGGCAAGTGGTGTACTTGATTCCTCTGTCTCCCAGCTGGCATTTCATTCCTATAAAAGCCTGGTGCTGCCTCAGGAGTTCTGGTGGCAAGTCCTAAGGGAAGGGAATAACAAGACTATTGGCATATGATTTCTCAGCTCTAGTGAACTAAGATATATCTTAAAGGTCAGTTTCTTAATGACTACACAGGAGATCTGTGTGCTCTCCTGGGCTGGACTGTGTGTGTGCATGTAGCACTAAAACTGGGCTACTGAATCTAGATCAAGTCCAAGCCTGAGAAAAGACTGAGTTGGCCCATTCATTTTTTGACTATTTTATGACACCACTATTATGATAATTTAATAAAGTTTAATAAGATAAATATCTGTCAACCTAGTTTTCAGTGGACTTGGTTGCATATTAAGTTTTTTGTAGACTATGGAAAATAGAAATTATAAGTTTGATGATAATAATAGAAATAGAAGGAGTCTTGGGACCTTGATGGGGATAGAAGAGGATGCTCTCCTGGGCACAAGATTTGAAAAAGGGTCCATATTCAAGAGAAGATACAACCCTAAAATTAAAGGGTTGATGAGCTTCCAACTCTGTGTCCCAAAAGTTGGGTAGGGAGTAGGATTGAATACTAGGACCTACCCAACTCTTTTGGGAGATGAACTTATACAGGAAACATTACACAACATCATCTGCTGAGTGAAAAGCATTTCATAGCTTTAAAAAAGCATTAAAATTTAACATTATTAAAATAATACATGGACTCTAGTTCTACTTGTGATGAAGTATGTTTACTTTCTGTTCTTATCTTTTCTTCAGTGGATAGCCTAATGTCTATCCATGGAAACTGAAAATAGTCATTAAATTGTTTAGTAAATGAACTAGTAATATTAAAACCTTATATTATCTTAAATAATGACAATATGAGATTCCAGTTGACTCGCGGTTCTATAACTCCCAGTCTACATCCTATTCTCTTTTGCTACCTCAAGGAAATACTTCACAGTCTGAACCTTTATCTCTGTTATTTGTAGCTTATTAAGGGCTAAGAGACTTTGAGAAAAAAGAAAAACTATATAAAATGATTACTATTTTCCTTAGTTCTAGTTTATCTTATTCCAATTGACTAACATTGAATATTTTCAACAGTTTTAGAGGATTTAACGGGGGAAGGGGGTGGTGGTCTAAGACTCTCCAATGATATTGTTTGTGGGGAATACTACTGAAAAAAATCTGAAATTTTTTTCATAGAGAAAATACTGTATCTATCCCATTTAGGAAGATGCACTCAATTGTCATTATTAGTACTAAAGTGATAAATTAATTCCATCATAATAGATAATTTTACCTACAATAAACAAATATGGAGGTAGTCAAAATTGTCCTGGTTTGAAGTAATCTACTTGATTGCATACAAGCCCCTCTAGGTTACCCTAAGAACAGCAGTGCAGCGGAGTTTCCAGAGGTGTCCTATCTCTCATAAAACAATAAACACATAGGAAGAGGGATACAGGTAGGATGCTCACACCCTAAACCTTTCAGCAATTATCTCATAATTATAAACATTTTAAGTCCTTATCCCTGAGATCAGAAACAAAGAAGCTACTAACATCACATCTATTATGCATCATAGCTATAGGGAGGACTTAAACAACATTTTTTTTAGAAGATTTTTTTTTTTTAGAAATAGAAATGCCGTTAACACTGGGAATATAATTAAATATGTAGATAATCCGAAAGAATTTATAAAATTAGAATTTGTAAATTTAACAAGTTGCTGGAAACAAGTGCAATTTGTAAATATTAATTGTTATTTTTGTACTTTATACAAAAATATCTAGAAAATTAAATGGCATTTATAATTATTGAAAAATCAAATACAAAAGAAATCTAATTAAAGATGAACAATACTTATACAGCAAAAATTAAAAATCACTACTGAGATAAAGAACCCACACACAAAGGGGAAATTCAATATTTTTAAGCATGTGAATTATACCTGATTGATCTATAACTAGTGAAATTGTAATAACAATGTAAACATGTTTATGTTGTAATAAATTATTTCTAAAAGTTACAAAAACTAGAATATATAAAATAATCCTGAAAAAGTCCAAAAATATTTAGAAAAACTACACTGTCAACAATATTTATGAAGCGATATTAATTAAAACAGTGTGGTCTGAAAAAGTGGTATAAATTCTATTTAGGATGGAAGATATAACCTATACACACATGCAAACACATGCAACACAGGTAAAGTCCACTGAATCACAGCCAAATCTCCAATTTCCTGTAGTGAAGGAAAGGGCAGTTTCCAAACAAATCTCACTTAGCCATTGGATAGCTAAACAGCTCTTTCCTCATATTAGATACAGAACAAATTCCAAATGAAAGTTAATATGAAATATTAAACAATAAAATTCTAGATGGTAGTGTCAAAAGTTACTTCATGATCATGGAATGGGCAAAGATTTTCTTTAAACAAAACCTCATAAAGTACTCAAATAAAATAAAGCATTGTCAAATTGAACTACATTAGAACTAGCACTGACTTTCAATAGTGCCACAAGGACATGTGCTCAACTATGTTCACAGCAGCATTGTCTGTCATAGCCAGAACCTGGAAACAATCTAAATGCCCCTCAACCAAAGAATGGATAAGGAAAATGTGGTACATTTACACAATAGAGTACTACACAACAGAAAAAAATAATATCTTGAATTTTGCAGGCAAATGGATGGAGCTAGAAAACATCATTTTGAGTGAGGTAACCCAGATATAAAAAGACAATTAGCACATACTCACTCTTAAGTGTTTTTTAAACATAAAGCAAAAAAAAAAAAAACCAGCCCACAAATCACAATCCTAGAGAACTTAGACAATAATGAGGACCCTTAAAAGAGACATACATAGATCTAATCTCCATGGGAAGTAGAAAAAGACAAGATCTCCTGAGTAAACTGGGAGCATGGGAAACTTGGGGGAGGGTTGGAGGGGAGGGGAGAGTCATGGAGGGGAGCAGAGAAAAATGTAGAGCTCAACAGAAATCAATAAAACAGAAAGTAAAGAGAAGGCCACAGAGAAGGAACAAGATATTCTATACTATATACATGAAGCAAAAGACTTCAGTCCAGCACCCCCTCACATTCATGCAATCAATAAAGAAATTAATATGAAAAAGTTGGTGACCTAATCGCAATGAGGAAAAGAATTAAATATCCTATAAAAGAAGATTAATAGTAAGTACTTTTAGAACTCGTCAAAGTCATCAGACATTAGAGATGTGCAATCCAATTTAACCCTACAATGAGATAAGACTACATGCACTTCAAAACAACGATAGTTTTAAAATTAATTGCCATAAAGTTGAATATCAGGAAGTATATGAAAAAAATGGACCTTTTGAGAACTTTAAGTGGAAATAAATTGGTACCACTACTTTAAAAAACTCTTTTACTAAATCTGCACATTTGCATAATTGACATTCCCCCAGTTCTACTTCTAGATACATATGCAACAGAAATTAGTAGGTATTTCATTAAAAATGTAGAATATAGTCATATCAGCTCATTTATAAAAGCCCCAAACCACCAAACATTATGCTACATTAAATTGAGGCATATTCATATAATGAGCTATTACATAGCAAAACTATCATGTTGTAACAGAGATGGATAGGATACACACACAGAGGGAAGGAGGGAAGAGAGGAGAGATAAACAAGAAAAGTAAACAGCATAAGATTTTATTTATAACAAAACATCACAATTTTGCTTTATGGTAGTAAACACATACAAGTGATAATACACGGAGCTAGGAGAGCAGTAGGGCTGTTGTGGAGATCAGAAATAAAGATATACACATTATGTTTTCAATTGGGAGTTTTACATGTTTATATTTACTTGTTAAATAAGTCTGGCTGATATTTTAAGATGTGTAAACACTGAAGCTTATGTACTATAATCTAAAAATGTTTAACCAGAGAGTTAGGGTTAAGTTATTCTCAAATTGAAATTAGAAAAGCTTGAGTTATGGTATTGATAATATAGGTAAAACTTGTGGAAAAAAACATAACATGTAAAGTAAAAAAATGCTGACTGGTAAAAGTTATGCTTTAAATGGATATGCTTTCCAAATATCAACATATTAAAATGATATAATAAGTAAAAAATACCCTGAGCAATAAAAACACAGCAGATAAAAAGAAAAGCAACAAATATATTGCTATACAATATTTTAATTTACTGATTTTCAGTTCTTGGCAGGTCAAGTAAGCAGAATATAAATGGCAACACAAGAAATATAGTAACACTACTACTACTGAATGCTATGAATTCACTTAGAGTAACTTGGGTCAAAAGCAAAAGAAAAAGGAAAAGGAAACATTCCCACTCCATTCAGGGAAGCAGGTAGGTTAACCTAAGATTTTGACCTCCTTCTCTTCTCCTCCAAGTCCAATGCCCAGTCTCATCCTCAGCCCTTTAGGAGAGCTCCCCCTCTTCTTTGCCCCCATCTCTGGTGAATCACACAGCTCTTCCCTTCAACTTCTATCCCCAGACTCATTGCTTTATCCTAGCCTCCAACCCCAGCAGGTATTCCCTGAGAACCCACAGGCCCCTCCTGCTGGCTAAGAAGGTAGATAGGAGATCATTCACCTCTCCCTCCTTTCTTCCAAACCCAACTCTCCAAACTCATCCCCAGCTCTGTAGCAGATTACCTGCTGTGGCGTCTCTCTCCAATTTCTGTGCCCATTTCTAGGGAACTTAGCAGATCCAGGTGGAAAACCCTGCTCTCTTCCCTTCTTTGAACTCCCTCAGCTCCCCTTCTAGCTCAACCCCATTCCTAAGTGTAGGATCCCAATACCTAGAAACAGCTTTTACCTAGAACCCTCAGTGACTACACCTAGCAGGATCCTGGAAGAATTTTCTACCAGGCAACACACAAATACCACACTCTCCTAAGAACCAGAGAGGGCAACAGAAACTAAGGAACAAAACGCCCACCCCACAAAGACAAAACCAGATATAAGCACCCAGATTTACAATTTCCCCAAACTCAGATGCTTATATGCCAGTGTAAAAACACAATCAGTAATAGC